AATCTGGTGTTCCTGTAAGGCACATCCAGAACGAATGATTAACTAGAGTAGAAAGTCCGGTGCTTCTCATAGCACTTTGATTATCTTTTAAAGGAATTAGTGTAAGACTATAGATGTATTCTAGCTGTTTATAGTTTAAATTAGAATGAAATTGCACAATAAACCTTGATTTTTCCTGGACAACATTGGCTTAAAATTGCCAGATTAACCTTCTAGGCAGAGGCCATGGTCACGTCATGGTCCAACTATTTGATTTACAAGTAATTAAAAGTGTACCAAGTTTGAAAAGCTGCTTCACCTCATGCTTGTTCATAGTCCTCTTCCTTACAATCAACATACTGATTTTTCAGATGTTCCATACATTTGCATATTCCTGAAAACATGTTCCTTGGTTATAGCAGGAAAATAATTTAAACAATGCATGATTGACCAATATTTAATCTGTCTGCATTAACTGCAGGGTGAATATACGTAGTTTGTCCTGCAGTAGGTAACTAGTTTGAGAAAATGTTTTACACTTTATACTGTACTTAGGGTTTTTCTACTATACATACATATAGTTACGTCCAAATATCGTAACACCTGCAACTCTCAGGGCATAAAAATGCTTTCTCAAATGCTTTCATTGAGCTGTAAATCTCATTCAAAGCATGCTCTAACAAGTACCATTTGTGCACAAAACAGTAGACTCTGAAATGTCTCAACGAAGAAACGTACACAAGATTGAGAGAATACAAAGAGTGTTTACACACGTGTTGCTGAAATAATTTTATGTAAATAATCCACACTGGTAAGTTCATAATGCTTGAAATTTTGAAACGAGCTAAAATACTGGATATGTTTGTTAAAGGAGTAATCACAACACCTCTAAGGCCAGAATTTGTTAATGTTGAAAGGCTTTTTGTTGTAAATCATGATGTACATTTAAGAACCCTTTGCAGGTCTCTGCTTGTTTGTATTTATGACAATACAGCTGTTCCTGCATAGCTCACTCAGGCAGTGCTCCCCCACAGATCAGCCTTAGCTTTTATTTAAAGCATAGAATGGGAGCAATTCCACCAGCTTCAGCAGAGATAATCTTGGTTGAGATAAAGAACAAAGGAAAGAAGAACCTTTCTGGGTGTTTTTGTTTGTTTGTTTTGATCTTAGTTTAGATACTAGCCATACATACATAGCACTGAACTAACAGAAACGTTGACAGTCATCTCCATTATCAAGAAAAAAAATCACTACCATTTATTTTATATTCAGCTTTAAAATACATGCAAGCTAGCTTTGCATCGTTATTAGCATTTTACAGCAGTAACTACTCCATTTTCAACAGGATCCAGCAAAAATGTCTTTCCACCTACTCTTCTAAAGAATATCACTTTCCACACAAATCATCAACTTCACTGTTCTTCATCTCTTCTAAAATAAAAGTTCAGTAAGATGCTAACCTCTCAGATTTGTTCTACATTTTCACAGGAAAGTAGCTCTAAAGCACAAAAAAACCCCATCCCACATATAATCCTTCCCGTGAAGAAAAACATGATGGAACTATGATTTGCAATGAGACATGAGACTGAGAATTTTTTGGCATCTCAGCTCTTTTCAATTGCTTGGCGCTCCCTTCACTTGCTCAAGAATGTGTTTTCAACAGATGATACTTTAGAAAAACACAATGTAGCCTATTATAAGATTCTCTCGTATGATGGAGCTATTTGTAAGAATGAACTAATAAATGAAAATGTAAGAAGAAAAATAATCAAGAGGCAGGCTCATTTATTAATTGCAGCTGGGCTGAAGATTGCAACATATCCTAAGCAATTAGTGCAATAGATTTTACTTGCTTTATGTATGATGAAAATACATAATACATACTTGCATTATGCATTTATGAAAATGAATGTCTTTTTGTAATTTATGAGGTCTCAGTTTAAACAAAAAGGACTGAATTTGCACTCATGCCTCCCAGAAGTACCACAAATGAGGTACAGAGTGACTTCTAATTGGCAATCTTATTGGTTTATTCAAGCAACAGCTATATTCTGACCTAATTTGCAAAATTCTTCCAGCAGTTGTTATTATTTTGCTTAGAAGTTAACATGACATTTCCTTTCTCAAATTATTTCACGGCTAATTGGGCAGCTTGTAACAATATATATATATAATATATGTAACAGCCCTAAAGAATTGTCAATAAAAGCACAGTTTAATGAGTATGCCTCAGCCTTGATTAAGTACAATAGTGTGGTGCCACAGCATCTCAGCAAGCGCTCTTGAAGCAACCTGCCTTTGGTGCTCATGGATGAGGAACAAAGATAAAATCATAGATTCCAAGATGCACCGCTGCCTCCTGTATCCTAGCATAAAATACACAGGAAGAGTTAAGTCAGTGATCAACATTTCTTAGGAAATATTTTATTGTCAAGAAAGCACTTGACATCCAAGCTGACAGGTAAACAAACAAGGCTTCCATTAATATTTGAGCATCTTATCTAATAGGGCAATCAATGAAAGAATGCCCCAAGCAGCCTCTGCAGCAGCTAAGGAAAACCAGCTGTACAGAAATTCCTGTCTACATGATCCGATTATTTGCACAGAAATGGCACAGGAAACCACTCCGGTTTTGGTGACAACATAATGCTACCAACTAAACAAGGAATACCTATTTATATCTATATAAATAGGTATCTATCTATATCTATATAGGTACCTATCTATATCTCTATCTATTTACGGATAACCAGTAAGTCAGTGCTAAAAAAGAAAGCTGTTCGAAGAAGTGCTTTTGAATGCATGTGTAAGGTGCACAGGCCAAAAACCAGAATTTTCACAGCAGAAAAAACAGAGCTGTAAAGCTCAAGTAAGGAAGGCAGCACAAGGAGGGAAGCCAAGCAGCTGTGTAAGTAACAACTGCATTTTTCACATACCTGTTGAAACCTATAACCTCAAGAATACTTTGGTGCTTGACTCCCACTACAAACTAGGTACCTAGGTGCCTCTGCAGATCAGAGCCTAATGTGCCAAACCTGTGAGAAAAAGCATAACCTTCATTTCCACCAAATCTCACTTACTTTCAGCGTGACTTAGTACCTTGCAGAAGACAGTTTGGGCCTCTCAGAACCAAAATGGCTTCTGAAGGGCAAGCACTGCCCCTATGCTCTCCTGAGGACTGCATAATGCTTCACCTGCACAGTCCCAAAAATATACATTATTGGCAGTCAGTATGAAACTAGAGGTCAAATAAGGTAACACCTTCAGAGACTGTAGAAGACGTCACAAAAATGCACCACTGTGAGAAATACATTGCAGGACAGTTTTAGGACATAAATAATACCAAAAAAAGTCTGACAATTTTAAAGTTTTGTCAGTTTTACAATTAATAATGAAATTCATGCTAAATACCAGACACACCCTAGGTCCCTCAAAGTCATCTCAGCTGCAGCTCTTAGATTAGATGGATGATTCAACATAAAAGAACCTACAAGATACATGAGCATCTTTACTAATTTTGTAAACATTCTCAAGAATGAGAGACTTCCAACACCTTCTGCCTCACTGCACATCAGCCATACCTGTGTAGGGAGCTTTTCCACCATTTCTCTATCTGGAAATCTTATTTAACGAGATTTTTTCAGAATACATCTGTTCCCTTCTGATGACATAATTAAATGCTATTAACTAAGTGTGGTAGCCTGAGGGCATTGGGAAGTGGCTTGGATAAAGTACTGCCTATACTACAGTAACACCAAACCAAGTAAAACTCTGTATTGAACAAACACCACCCAGCATCACATTGTGTTTTATAACTGGGTTGGACAAATGCTTGAATTCAGAACATTGCCTGTTTACCCACACATAAGTGGTGCTTTTAGGTCTTGCTCCCAGAAGAAGCACAAGCAGGCTGGTCCCAATTTGGGGTTGAAACTCTAAATTTTAATAAGCTGTTAATTTGCCTCATCTGAAGACAGGGACAGAGGGTCCAAACAAGTGCTGTGCAGCACCACCGAGGAGCCCTCTGCACACACTGCGAGGAGGAAAACCACACCGCGCAGCAACACCCTTGCTCGTGGGCATTTAAACAAAACCCACGAGATAGTTTGCAAAATAAATGTATTTGGGTATAAATACGGGGGCAGGGGACAGTGCACCCCTGCTAACCACCACCCCCCCCCCCGCCCCAGCCAGCGCAGCTTTCCCGCGCCCGCGCGAAGCAGCGCGAGGGGCGTGGCCAGCACCGAGGGGGCGGGGCCACCGCAGAGGGGGGCGGGGCCAGGGCGCCCCCTGGCGGCGGCGCGCTCGGGGGGCTCCGGGAGCGCGGCGCTGCCCCGCCAAGCGCCTCGGGGGCCGCTGCCCGGCACCATGTCGGCGACAGGCGACAGAGCACAGAGGGGCCTTTCGCTGCCTGTTGAGCCCACGGGCCCGCTGTCTGTGGGCACAAGCGAGTAGGCAGCACGGGCATCGCGGGGGGGTGCTGCTGTCCTAAGGCAGCCAGCTGGCTGGTCACACGCCTAACCCCTAACGCAGGCGTTAGGATGGGGACACAGTGGTTTGACTTTCAGTTGTTTCTTGACACAACAAAAAAAGTTTGATTAGGAAATTACCGCTAGCTAGCCTACCTGTGCCAGAGTTTCAGGCCAGTCCCATCTGCGAGGATATTTTAAGCAAAGGTGAAGATATTTTTAGAATCTGGGTTTCGGACAAACGCTTTACGAGGCACGGGATTTCAGCACAAAGTGTTCCCTTGCCAATATGCTTCAGGTCCTTCTTAAAGGTCTGGCTGCAAGATCGTTCTAACACCTGGGCGCCACAAGGCTTTCGATACGCTTCACTTACCTTCGTTCCTGCGGGATTCCTTTATTTTGCAATAACAACACGCCTCTCCCGCCAATCCTACCACCAAGTTTGTTACGCGAAGGAAAACCGCTCGGTAAAACAGACACGACCTCAACTTGCCTTGGAAGAGCAAAGCCTGGCTGGGTGAGAGCCTGGCCGCCAGCAGCGGCGGAGCTTACCTCCTCAACTGTCAGAGGCATGCAGATCCGGTACTCCTTCATGAGCATATTCCTGCTGCCTCGGTGCGCACCGGCAAACTGGGAGAAAAGTGGTTATTTCTGCACGATGATCACGCCAAAAATAAAAAATTAAATTAAAAAATAAAAATAAAAAATAATCAAGCCTCTTTTCTCTGGGCAGCGTGTCCGCAGGAGGGTAAGGCGACCATCCAGGAGGGCTGAGCGGGCGAGGAGCAAAAGCGACAGAAGCGAAGCCGACAGGAGCGCTCCTCTCTCGCAGCCCTTCCTCCTTCAGGCTGCGATCATGTGAATTTCCCACACGCACGCAGGGCTGTGTACAAAGAGCCCCAACCCCGGGCGCCGCCGCACTCTCAGAGCCATCCGTCGGAAGCGTGCGAGAGCGGCAGCCCCTGGCGGCTCCGCCAACACCCGCCCGGGGCTCCGAAAAGCCCGGAGGAGCCCCCAAAAGGCGGCGGGGAGGCTGCGGTGCCAGACAAAGGCTCTTTCTAGCGCTTCCGAAGGCGGCTCCCCGCTGCTCACCGCTGGGCCGAGGGAAAGGGGGGAGGATGCTGGAAGGGGGAGGCGGTGCGGTGCGAGCCGATGCGAGCTGGAGGCGAGGAGCGGCCGGGGCTGGGGCTGGGGCTGGAGCCCGGGGCACGGAGCGGCTGCAGCGGCGGCCCCGGCGGGGCTGACATCACGGCGAGGCAGGAAGGAGGGCGGGGGGACCGGGGGGAGTGAGGAGGAGGAGGAGGGGGGGGGGGGGGGGGACCGGGGGAGGACAGGGGAGGACCCGGGGAGAACCGGGAAGAACCGTGGGGGGGGAGTCCGGGGAGAATCGGGGGGGTCCGGGGAGAACCGGCGGGGGGGGACCAGGGGGGAACTAGGGGGGCTCCGGGCAGCAGCAGCCTCTCAGGAGGCTTTAAACAACCCGGAGGGGCCAGGCTGCACCCCGCGGGGGTCTCTCGGAGGTGCCCCCCCGGGGTACGGCAGCGGTGCCCCCTTTGGGGCGCTCCGTGGCACCCCGCAGAGCCGCAGCCCCCCCCCCCGGTACGAGGACACCGCCGGCTGCAGGGCACGGCGAGAGGCGAGCGCAGGATGTGGAGGCCTCACCCATTTCCCCTCTGGTCAGCGCCTCGCTGTCGGCCGGCGGATTTTGCAACGCAAATAAAAGTGGGTTTCGTGTCGGCTGCTGGCTTTCAAACGCCACGCACGGAGTTCGGCGAAAAACCACCTCCTGCCTCGTTGAGGAGCAACGCCAGGGCCATCGGGGGGGCCTTTCCTTCCCTTTCCTAGTTTGTTGGTTACATCTTTTATTTTAGGTGCTTGCTTTTCATTGTATTTCTCCAAAAGAAATATAAGCATTATTGCAATTCAGCCTGATACACACACAAACCGAACTCTGAAACTAGCAAAGAAACCTGAACTCTTACATAACTGCGCGGAAATCATAAAACATTTGTATCGCTGCTTCTCCTGTAAGCAAATGGCTATAGAGCACGTATCGCACAGCAGCGCTGTGACTGCAACATTAAAACATAAAGCACTGTATAGTAATGGTAAAAGACACCAGCATTGAGAACTCCGTTATTTGCAAAGATAGAAGTGATGTAATACCATATTTGGGGCAGTTAAACATGAATTTGGGTCTACAATGAAATGTGTTTCATAACAAGAAAGAGCAAAACCCCTCATTGGTTCCAAATGTACATTTCAAAGCGATGTACACAGTTTTTAGCCCAGAGAGGACACAGTGCCATCTCCTGGAGCTAACAATATCGCTTTTCCATTCCATCCCATTAACGGCGCAGTATTTCACACACCCTGACTTTCTGGTGAAGTACAAACACCTACACAAAGAGAAAATCTGGGAGCTCTCCTAATAGCCTGGATTTTCAACTGAGGTATGAACAATGCAGTTAATGAGTCTTCTATTTCAAATCTGACAACAGCCATTTATATACATCCACCCTGTAGCTATAATTCATAGTGTTGGCAGCAATATTCATGAAACTTCTATGAAAAATAGCCTAAACAAGGCACTAACGGCAATATTACCTACAAATGAGAGAGATCCAAATTCAGATCCAAAATAATTACAGCAATTTTAAGTGATTTGTTACTGGTTACATTAACTGGGGAAAAAAAAAAATCACCTGGATTTCTGCTGAAAAACAGTGTAAAAATTTGAACTGCTTCGCATAGCACCTTGATGCTACTCAATCTCTAAATAAAATGGAAATGAAAATTATTTTCCATACCCACTGCAAAACATTCTTAAATCACCCCAGACTTACTGCCACAAACACAGCTTGTTCTTGTGCTGTCTGCACATACACATGGAGGAAAAAACAGTGACCCCAGCAATAACCTCTACAAGTCCCAAATATGACTGCTGTCCTGGGCCTCTGTAAAAAGCATGTTCATCAAATGTTTTTAGGGGACATGCTGAGAGAGGAAACTTCTAGCTGTAGCTAACCAGGAAGTTGCTGCTAAGCATGCCTGCCTGAATTTTTGTTATTTTCTGTGAATTGTCAGAAATTATTGTTCTTACCTCTACAACATGCTCTCTGTGATCGGTTGGAAAAATCACCCTTCTTTCATTTCTGGCCTAGGGGAAAAAAAACAACACAAGCATTTTAATGCATGCTGAACACTAATTCCAGGTGGAGTTGTCTCAGTAAAATGCCAATTCCTAATAAGAGTCAGTAAAAGTCAAACTAGTTCGCCAAGTATTTTACTAAGAGCTTTTAAAAAAGCTCTTATTTTATCTTTATTTAAAAAAAATAAAAAAAAATAAAAAAAAATATTTTTGAACCATTCAGGATTTTTTTATTTTTTTTTTTTTTGCATGGGATGCAAAAGCTGCATCCTCAGCTTCCATCATATCGATGCAAGTAAGGTAACAGCCAGGGTATACATTGCTTCTACTCGTCTTTTACTCACTCTCTGAACTAGAACCAGTGTCTGGATGTTCAGTGAGATCAGCATCTGCCTTTTAATTTCCATGAAAGCCATCACTATCCATACGTGATACATGCATGCATTTTCACTACTTAAATCAAATAATAACTAGAAATGATTAAGGATAATGGATAAAATGTTTGAATTCACACAGAAAGTGATGCAAAGTCCACAGCCTGCGCTGTAGCTTCATTTCCCCCTTGCTAATTGGAAAGCATATACGGAGTTCTCTCACAAAATATGGTATCACAGCCCTGAATTTCTCAGTTGAGTTACCCTGACCTTACACCAGCACAGCTGACATAGTAATCAAGCCTTAATTCTGCAGATAAAAGGCTCAAGCTGTTATCCTCAATACCTCTTTGCCACACGAAGGTTTTGTTACAGCACAGACTACACTTCCAGGACAACTTATGCTTTGCTGCGAGCTTTAAGTAATGCTCGGAAACACAGTGCTCTCACTGAGGAGCATTTCCCTTGCAGTAATTTACTATCAAACACCAAGAACTTTGTGGGGACGCCCGCAGCGACAAAACCTCCCCTCACCCGCCGAGCCCCACCTGGGGCACTGAGGGCACTGAGGCGGGGGGCGGCCTCACGCCAGGGGGCCTGCGGCGCGGCCGGGGCTGTCCGCGGCGCTGCCTGCACGGCGCAGCACGGGGAGGGGGGCCTTCGGCCGGGCTGCCCCGGGCGTGCCTGCGCGCGGCGCCCGCCCGCTTCCGGTGAGTGTTGGCGGGGGCCGCGCAGCGGGGCCGCGGCCATGGCGGAGGGAGGCGCGGAGCGGGCCGATGGCCGCATCGTCAAAATGGAGGTGGATTACAGCGCGACGGTGGACCAGCGGCTGCCCGAGTGCGAGCGGCTGGCGCAGGTGCGTGAGGGGAGCGGGAGGAAGGCGGCCGGTGAAGATGGGCTGAGTCATGGCGCGGGGCGGGCTAGGCCGCGGTCGGGTTGAGGCCCGGCAGGGCCATGGGGACAGGACAGGGACAGGGACAGGGGCAGGCAGGGCAGGGACAGGCAGGGTAGGAGGTGCAGCCGCAGTAGCCTCCTCTCGCCCCCCGGCCCCGTGCTGAGGGCTCCGGAGCTCCTTGGGGAAGGGCAGAAGCTGAGGATCCTAAAATCCTGGAGTCATCAGGGGTGGCAGAGAGCTCCTCGATCGCTCGGTCCAGCCGTCCCCCTACCACCAATGTCACCCACTGAGCCATGTCCCCATCACCACGTCCAGCGTTTCCTTGAACACCCCCAGGGATGGTGACTCCACCACCTCCCTGAGCAACCCGTCCCAACGCCTGACCGCTCCTTCTGAGCAGAAATGGCTCCTCATTGCCAACCTGAACCTCCCTTGGCATAACATGAGGATACTCCTTCTAGTCCTGCCGCTGGCTATCTGCAAGAAACAGGCACCACTTCAGCACTTGGCTGTCAGTGTGCAGCAGGGGGAGATGAAGGCAGACGTCTGGCAGAAGCCTTATGAGTGAGGCAAAGGGACAGGGCTGGGATGGGGCTGGTTTGCTGCAGGGATGGGGATTTTCGCTGCTGCCACTTTCCACCAGCAGCGTGGCGTGGCAGGCGCATGGCAGGTGCTTGCTCATCCTGCTCTGCGCCAGCGATGCTTTGGTGTAATTGGTCCCGTGTCAGGTTGGGCACACAGCTCTTTGCACCCGTGTCACTCGGTTATGTCCGTGCCCCAAAAGACTGGAGTGGGGGGCCAGGGCCATGGCAGGGTGCTGAGGAACAGTCTGCCGAGCACACATGGGGGCACACCCAGCCACAGCCACTGAGCATGTTGCTGATGGGGTCTCAGAGGGAATTGTGCACGTGGTGTACCGTATCTTGAGATTTCTTTGGGGCCCTGCTATGTAGGTTAGAGGTTTTTGCACATCTCAAACCTCAGAACAGTCAGGTGGGATTTGCTTGTGGTCCAGTAGGATGGCATCGGATTCCTTACACGCTGCCAGTGCTCTGCGAGATCCATGTGTGATGTGAGAGGCACACTGGAGTGTAAAGTGTGTTGTAGGATTTTAAAGGCCTGAAGATAGGTAAACTGCATCTAATGCTGTCTGACAGAAGTGCATGGAGAGTAGGCACAGATGTTTGATCCCACCAGCAGAGCTCTGCATAACTATGGGCACAGTGGCTGCGCTTCATTGCCACGGAATTCTGTGACAGTCTGACCACATTCCTGACAAACCACTGTAGAGTTTGCAAGAATTTCAGTAGGATGAGGTACGCTTTAGAAGCAGATTTTCCTTTTCTCTCTTTTGTCATTCACCTCCTTGTTTCTAAACATTTTGCTGTCCCAGAGTTGTCATGGGCTGTTATAAATTCTCCCATATAAACATTTTTTTGTGAGATACTTGCTAGGAAGTACAGTTTAGGACTTAAGAGTACTTTATGGTAGCATATTCTCTCTGAAAAAGGCCAATATAGTTCTCAAACCCCAAAAAGCAGGACTATGGTAATTCCATGCCTGGACTGTAAGGTGTGTAGTGCATGTTTTCTGTAATATGTTGTGACTAAGATGTGATGAATATGGATTAAAGTAACAGTGTTGTTTTTTTGCAAAGGTATCTGCTTGCATATCTGTTCTCACTTAAAGCTTTGTTTTGGTTAGGAAAGAAATCAGTCTTATATCTAGCTTGGTGAGCATGAGCTAGCCAAACCTGTCTGCAACTTGCTGGGTTTCTTCCTCTAGACAGACAACTTCTAGCTTGTGTTAGGCAAAACCGGTACCTTTCTAGTTTAATCTGTGCATTTAGCCACATGTTTAACGTTAGGGCTGTGCATGTGTCTTTTTTTTTTTTTTTTAAATACATAGAAATCAGTGCACAGGCTAGTCTGTGTTTGTTTTTTTTTTTATAATTTTTTTTACTTACATAAGAATGGGAGTTTCTCTCAATTTAAACTGACCTGTATTCTTCAGTCATAGTGATAATTCTTTTACTCTGTTATATTAGGAGGGGAGACTGCAAGAAGTCATTGAAAACCTGCTCTCCTTGGAGAAACAAACACGAACGGTAAGTAGCATGTAGCGTGGAGCGTGTCTGCTGGGCTGGCCTACAGCCCGTATCCCCGTGTCCCACTGCATTAAAGCTGTGAAGGGGGTTGGGGTATCAGTCCTTCTCTTTTGTTGTTCTTACCAGTGAGGCTAGATGTAACAGAAATTTATTCTTTGTATCGTGGAAGTGCAAGTGATAGAGGCATGCAGGCTGTTCATCCCATCACTAACACGCTGTTTGTTTGTTACAGGCCTCTGACATGGTTTCCACATCACGGATCTTAGTGGCTATAGTGAAAATGTGTTACGAAGCTAAAGACTGGGATGCTCTTAATGAAAATATAATTCTTCTGTCAAAGAGAAGAAGTCAGTTAAAACAGGTGAATAAAATCGTATTTGGAGCTACATCGTATATATCTGATTCTTCTCTGTGTGCAGAGACTTCTGACTTTCCAGCACCTGCCAGAGTACACTGTAATTAGATTCTGCTGACATTTTTTTGTAGACATATGAATACCAATAATGAAACTCGTGTCTGGAATTAATCTATCTTTACTTTGTACCTGAGCTCCATGTGGTTCATCTTGCCATTCTTGACAGCACAGCTGTGCCTTTTTGCATGACGGTGCTTTCAGACAGTAGTTCATCTTTACAGTCTTAGACAGTCTAAGTTGTAGACGTATTCTTAATTTTTCATGTTCGCATGTGGTGTACATTAAGTAGTTACTGTGATTTATTGTGATGAAATAAGGTATATACTTCACATACTTGCTTTTGAAACTGTCATACTCTGGAATTCAGTTCTGTCTGAGAAATCAGGTATCAAGATAGCTGGAAACAATTGCATTTAAGAAGGTGCAAAGTGTATTCTGCTCTGTGTTTATGTAGTGCTTATCTTTGAGTGTTTTTATTTGAATGCCTTTGAGAAACCTAAAAATATTTTTCTTGTCTGTTACTGTACTAGGCAGTTGCTAAAATGGTCCAGCAGTGCTGCACTTACGTTGACGACATCACAGACTTACCAGTCAAACTGCGCTTAATTGACACGTTGCGGATGGTTACGGAAGGAAAAGTAAGATTCCACAGAGTAGATATTTGGATGTATTATTAATACAGAATTAAAAAGTGCCGTTTATTTTTCACTTTTTAAAGTGTTATATATTCGATTTTGTTAGAGAAATGGGCAGTTTAAATTAATTTCTTTTGCACTTAACAAAGTTTTATGTACAGTTACATTAACCACAAGTGAATTACTTGTGTTCAAACATCAACTATATGTCTTAGGAGGGTTGTGGTCTTAGAGTTTATGCTCTTCTTTGGAAAATTCCAATATTTAAATCGCCAATTCTGATTTCAGATATATGTGGAAATTGAACGTGCTCGTCTGACAAAGACACTTGCAACAATAAAGGAACAGAACGGTGAAGTGAAAGAGGCTGCCTCTATTCTGCAAGAATTGCAGGTAACTTGCCATGCAACTCAAAATTGCATCGGTAATCTATGAGCAGTCAGTATTAATTTTTATTATTGTTTAGAAATATAATCAGGTACATCTGCAGAAATGTCTGGAATGAGATTAACTGTTACGAGTGAAAGTGTAACTCTGTTTAAACTGCTTTTGTTAGTCTAGGGGTTAAATTGCATGGAATATTTTCCGTTTGGAAGACAAATCTCAATTCGCTAAGTATTGCAGTGAGTTTAGCGTTAGTGAATTTCTCTCATGTGAGTAGGGGCTATAATTCAAAACTGAGTAAGCTTTTCTCCATTTTCACTTACTCTGAAATAGGTTTTTTTTTTTTTTTGAATCATGTTACGCTTCTCTATTTTACATGATTTGACTTTGACAGTACTAAACAGTTAATCTTTAATTTTAGGTGGAAACCTATGGTTCAATGGAGAAGAAAGAACGTGTAGAATTTATCTTGGAGCAGATGAGGCTCTGTCTAGCTGTAAAAGACTATATCCGCACTCAAATTATCAGCAAAAAAATTAATACTAAATTTTTTCAAGAAGAAAACACGGAAGTAAGTTGTTGGAGGATTTGTTTTTCCCTATTTTAATCTAACATGCTTCTCTTCGGGTCCAAGTGTATTTGAATCTTCTGTTTTCTGGAATCCATTTGGATTTAATTTACATGATTCATAGAGCTGTTTTAATTCTACTGTTTGATACCGTTTCAGAAACTAAAATTAAAATACTACAACCTAATGATCCAGCTGGATCAACATGAAGGCTCCTACCTCTCCATCTGTAAGCACTACAGAGCCATTTATGATACTCCATGTATTCAAGCTGAGAGTGAAAAGTGGCAGCAGGTAAAAAACAAACAACAAAACAAAACAAAAACACTACATACAAAATGTCTGTATCTTCCTGTGACAAATATGCATTTCATGACCAGATGAATTTACAACAGATTAAATAGCTCTTAAATCTGTTGTTGTTGTTGTTATTTTTAATGGCTATCTTAGCAAATTGCATAGTTGAAAACGAGTATAATAAAGTTGATTTCAAAAGAATATTTATAACTAACATTTTTACTATATTGTCTTTGAAATCTTGAGATTATCTTTTTTATTTTGCGGAAGTGCAGAAATTAAAAACAGCTTTGCAAGTAGTCTAAATGATACCGTTGTGTGAGCAATATAAATGTTAGGTATTTAAATTCTTTTTAAGGTATTTATTTGTAATGTTCAAATTTCAGTTAACCTGTATCAATTTACCACTGTGAAGGAAGGTTCATTTCTACAAGATTACATCAATTTAGCTTTTAATATGCTTAACTTAACCCTTTTACATATTAAATTCTAAACTCTGCGAGTAGTTTTCTACCCTTCTGTTTAATTAACACTCTTTTCTACTGAACAGGCACTGAAGAGCGTTGTTCTTTATGTTATTCTTTCACCTTATGACAATGAACAGTCTGATTTGGTGCACAGAATTAGTAGTGACAAAAAGCTAGAAGAAATCCCGAAGTATAAGTAAGTGCCCTTTCTAATGTACAATTCTTAGGCCAAAAGCATTTCTTACAGTAGCTGTGCAAATGAGATCTGTTTATGTTGAGTCTGCTGTAAACATTTCAGAATTTAATGCTGTATGAAAAATACTGCAAAATTTTCATGATTGTGCAAGTTAAAAGTTAAAATAAACGTTTCTGTAAGAAAAGAATCATTATTAGAAACACTGTCTGACGTTAGCTGCCTCCTGATACTGTGAAGTATGAGATTGTACTTGTGAAAAACAATGAATATTAATGGTAATAAAATTAAGACATTTAAAGATACTTCGCTAATCTAGTTAAGCATGAAAAAAACCTTATTGGTAAAGGATTTTAAATCATCTTTACTAAACCATTTAGAGACCTCCTCAAACTATTTACCACCATGGAATTGATGCGATGGACTGCCCTAGTTGAAGAATATGGGAAGGAATTGAGAGAAGGATCCCTTGACAGTCCTGCAACAGATGTTTTTGGCTGTACAGAGGAAGGTGAAAAGAGATGGAAAGATTTAAAGAATAGAGTTGTGGAACATGTAAGTATGGCTGATTCTTTAAGAACTAGCTATGTATGCTATGCCTGAACTAAAAATACCTTTTGCTTGACATATTTTGTTCACAAAGGTGTTTTCTTTTAATGTAGGAAAGCAGCAGATAAGTTGCATTTTCCATTATATTACATTTTTCAACGTTTTTATTTGTTCATACCTGCATATTATAGATAGGTACTTGGCACAATGGCCAGAAAAAAAAAGAGCACATTGTGCTGAAATTGTGAGATTTAGCATTCAAATGTCAGTAGAGCAAAAACTTAAGTCTTGTTTTGTATTATTAATAATTGGTTGATTTCATTACTTAATAATTTGTCACACAGAGACTATTACAAGCACCTATACCTATTATAAGCACCTGTTGGTCCACAGCTCATTTATGTACTTTATGCTGGACTGCCATTAGAGCATTACGGCTCCTAATCTGCTTTTAACATTGACTTTTATATTTTTGCAGCCTGCTTCAATTATTTTTTACACATAACCCTCTACTCTGAACACTTTTATTCCAGAATATTAGAATAATGGCTAAATATTATACCAGAATTACAATGAAGAGAATGGCACAGCTCCTTGATCTGTCCGTTGATGTAAGTATTGCCTTGCTTATACTCCTTTCATAAAGGGAATAGAAATGTATATGTGTGTGTGTTTGTAAAAATATAAGTACTCAGCAGAGTAACATTCTCTTTTAATTCCAAATTTTGGTCTCTCTTTTACACTTACAAAGCTTTGAAAGTAGTGCCATAGAGCATCATTGCATTCTACTTCTGCATTGTCTGTAAAACATAGCATTGTAGAAATACACTGCTTGGAACAAAATTCTCAGGATTTATACTTCTGTGTTTATGAATGTTCAAGGATATAGTATCTGTTGCTACTTGTGCATATATCTGCCTTTGTATCATCTTTCCAGCTCTCTTGGCATCATCCTTAGTTTTATTACTCTATTTGTGATACCAGTGCATTTCAGCTTTTACCAGGAAGAACACAGTGTGCTGTAGTGATTTACACAGAGTGTTAAATGAACTTTAGTTATGTGAAAAGCAGTGGAAAAGCCTGCTGGGGATAGTAGTATGTTAATCCAAATATTTATTACTTTGTCTCTACTACTCAATGCAATACCCCGGATGTTTTTTCATGCCTTTATGGGAGTTAAAAAAAAAAAACAAAAACACAACAGTTTTTCAATTCAGACAGCACTGAATGTCATGATGCATGTGCCCATATGGCAAAAGCTGATGATCAAAATTCATTTATGCTCAAGGTCATATTTAAATGTTGGAGCTTCTTATCTTATATTTCAGTGGGAAAAAGCGCTTGTCAATGAGTGATTAAATTTGATTGAAGATACAGGATTTCTCACCTGTAATTCGCAGGGATTTTCCTGTCTTGCTTGTTACAAGGGTTGGTCTGATAACTGTGTTGCCAAGTACTCCAAAGTGTAAAAGTCTGTTGGTGTAGTACATTAAACTTTTAATTTCATGAAAGATAACCAGATATAGATCAAATGAGGGAAAAAAACACCCTTGTGAATAGATGGTGCTAGTAGCTTGCTGTACCTATGTGTAATATTAAAGTATTGTGTTGTTTTTTTAAATACATTATTACCACAGATGGATTTCTTTTAAGTATAATGACAACCTCATTCCTTGTGCTTTAATGCTGTTTGGGAAGAATTCTGATGCTTTGAAGATGAAAATGCTGTTTTCTTGACTTAGTGCTGTTTGTCTTTGCAGGAATCGGAGGAGTTTCTGTCTAACCTAGTAGTTAATAAGACCATCTTTGCTAAAGTAGACAGGCTTGCAGGAATTATCAATTTTCAGAGGCCTAAGGATCCAAACAATATACTGAATGACTGGTCTCACAAGCTGAACTCACTAATGGCCCTAGTTAACAAAACCACGCATCTCATTGCCAAAGAGGAGATGATACATAACTTGCAGTAAGGTGCCTCAATAATCTCAGTGCTTTTAAAGAAGGCATTAAATCTTCATAATAGAGACTATTATTACAGTGTGTATATGTTTTTTTTTCTCCCTGTCAAACCTTCCTGGACTAAAATTTAGAACATAATTCCCGATGACAGTTAAGTTCCCTTGATTGTTCAGATGTTTTTTTTGCTACAATTGGTGAAAGAACATAATAAAACGGTATTGCCTGTATAATAGCAGTCTTGTGATTTATTCTTTTCCATTTATACCTGTATCTGTCTAATGCATGATTCCGTGGTTATTTTCATTTTTGAGACTGTGACTGAGAGGACATACTGTAAATAAAACAAAAGTCTAGGGTTTAATGGTAGCATGCACTGAGGTAACTGATGTTAATATTATAACGTTATGTCAGAGGTCAAAATAAAGGCCTGCTAGCTTCTTAAACAATGCATTGGATATGTTTGATCATGACAGTATGGGATTAAACCATTGCATTCATCTGAACTTTGTAATTCATCTCTCCTCAATGTACCCTCAAAACCCCCTTAGTGCTGTTTGCTTCTTAAGATTCTCATTTTGTGGATCAAAGGCAAAAATGAATTAGTTTGAATATCCTTACTGTAGAAATTGTATGTGTTTAAGGAGTCTGTGTTGAAGAAATATTATCCTTGGATAATTATGTAGTAAGATTAAAGTTGAGATCATTTGTTCATTAGAGGACACTGGAGGAATTCCAGGGGAATTTTCATGCTGGAGAATCAAAACTCGTTACTCTTCAGTCTAATAATCAGACATTAATGACTGCCTAGAAACAGATTACTTTATTGTTTAATAAGCTGAAGCATTGCTGTTGCTATCTAACCTAAGGTCTACCACTGACTTGTTTGTGGCAGAAGGTAAACCACGTAACTTCTGATAGTTTCCCATGGTTGGTGCTTCTGAGGGATTTAAAGGAAAATATAAAGATCTAGTGTGCTAGGACAATAAAAACATTGCATCTCTTACTGCAATCAGTCTGGAGCTTCTATTGGGAAATACCTCCTGTTGTTTTGTTTTCCAGAGGTGAAAGATGCCTGGTGGCATGTTAGACTGCAGTGTCAGTGAGGCAATTCTGTGCTGAATGTGCTATGTGTTTATTAATTGTACATGTTAATTGCAATGGTGTTTCCTGTATTTTGAAGTTAGACATCACAAGTGAAACTGATTGAAAAATGAGTTCTCTATATTGGAATTCAAGAAATGCCATTTCCCAGAAACAGGAGTGAACGCTATCAGAGACTGGAAATTGGTTTTCTGAATTTCCTGGGAAAGCAAAAGTCCGAAGAGAAAGGGGGAAAAAAAAGCAACAGCGTAAGTTTGAAATAATTAAAAAAGTTTTGTTTTGAAAAAGTAGAAACTAAACTATAGCTGTGATTCCAAGTGTGCAGTGCAGCTCATGGGAGAGCCAGAACTCTAGGGCTTTTTGGCTAGCAGCTTTCCATTAGCCCTGAAGCAAGTGGGGGTTTCTAAGTTTCCAACTCTTCCAGAATTTGTGCCACACCTTTCAGAACTCTGCTCAGATCTTTGCTTCATGGCAGGGAGCCTAGTAGCCCTAAGTGGCCCCAGGTTTTCAAACTCATGCTTTTTGGCAAAGAGCCTAGATTCTCCAAGGTCCTTGGCATGGCTCCTAGCTTCACAGAATAGGGAGAAGTCCTGTGAGCAGTGAGGATTTACAGAATTCTGACTTAAGGGTAGGGAGACTAGATGTATTAGTACCTTCTGTACAGGGCTTCCTTGCAGTCCCCTGGAGGTTGAACTCTAAATTTCCATCAAGAAGCTGTAGTTTTCAGGATCTTAAAATGTGTAAAAATAGAATTGAACTCGGCTTTGTTGCATTTGTTGGATTTTTTTTTTTTTTTTTAGTCCTAGTATTATAATTAGTCCCTAGAAATATCACTTGCTGCACTTCTGAGGATCTGAATCCTGTCAAGTCTCATGATGCTCAGCAGAGATTCATTGTTTTTGTCCTCCTCATGCCTCCCCATTGTGACTGTGGCATTTCTGATATTTCCAACCGCTACTGTTGTTTTTCTTCTGCTCCCAGACTCAAATGCGATCCACCATTCTTGGTCTTCTTGGGCAGAAGAGCATGCTGCAACCAGTACAAAAACTCAAATTCCTCAGCAGAGTCTAGTACTCTCCTCTTGTCATGAAATGCCATTAGTGACCATTGCACAGGGGGATTCCAGGAACTTGGGACAGTTCTGGAAACATGAGTAGTCAGCATATCTGTGTCTATGTCTAGCCTGTGCTGCGGGAAGACCTGGTTTCTCAACTCAGCCTGTAGAGTTGTAATGGTGTGTTTGATTGCAGAGGTTGGAATGATGGCAACTTCCACATAATACCCAATAAGGACAGAGAAACCTCCTACAATAGCAGTTAATATATTAAGCTTATTTCCTTAAGTTATCCTTTAATATTGGCATTATTCTTTAATATTGTATTGAAACATGTCAATAAAAGCCACGTGAAGTCTTTTCTTCCCATGTATTGTGTGACTGCTTGCTAGTGGCATACCTCCTGTGCTGTTACAAAAGAAGTGGTTCTGAAACCCAAGTTTAGTTATATTATGGTTCTGTGGATGTAAGACTCATCCATCAGGCTAGTTGCTTTATGATTCGAACTTTGAGCAGAATTTTCAAGGTTCATGAATGCTTAGGATCAACAGTCCTCATCTTTCTATCTGCTAAAAAGACTATGGAAGAGCTTAGAGGGGGTACCACAGGGAAACAAATGCAGTTACTCCAACCTTGCAGGCTCCATGGCAGTACTTGAACAAAAGTGCTTGGCAGCCAACCCCACCAAAGAGCTCTTGGCTCTCTCTGTAGCCTCTGGCATGACCACTTAGGGTTTCTGCAATACAATTAACAAGTCCACAAAATCTAAACCTACTTTGTATGGGGGCAAAGAGTTAAGTTTAAGTAACAAGATCCTAACAAGCAGTGGGTGTAGGGTCACAGTCTCCACATTGTTTTATACACGGCACTGTTTCAGAGTTTGGGGATTCCCCTGCTGCCATCATCTTTTCCAAGCTCCTTTATGGGTTGTTTTGGCAGTGCCGAGTTGCCATTGTTTTTCCAGCAGTCTTTGCCTTTCAGTGCTTTCAATTTGAGAAGTTCAATACAAAAGAGATAGCAAAAAGCAGGAAAAGTGATGTCTATCACTGAACAAATCTTTCCAGCTGCAACTCAGTCACTAGATAGGCTTTCAGTTCTAGTACTGTATAAAGAGATGCTTTCTGAAAAGGGATTCAAAAGTTAATGATAGCTTATGTGAAAAATAAATTCAGCATCTTTCTGTATCACCCCCAACCTGAATTCCAGAGGGTATATGGAAGATTTTATATAAGTCATTCTATTTTCTACTTTTTTTTTTTAAAGGAAACTTTCCTTGCATTTTATAACAGAAAAAAATCTATAATACAAAACTACACTAGCTACTGAACACGACCAACCTCCAAATAAAAGCACTAATTCTACTTCAACAGCCTAGTCAAAGTTAGTTATGTGGTCTCACCTTTATCTGTTTCACTATAACTACCCTCTTCCTCTCTGCAGGGCACTGCCTGGCCTGCCCAGCACCCATGGAAAAAATGTTTAACTCACTGCATGCCATCTAGGCTCACCGGGGCCGGTGTCTGAGGCAGGCAGCTGCTGCAGACCAGCAGCGATGGCTCAGGGCAGGTTCCGCAGGAGAGGTTTTGTCCTCCTGAAATGGCGTCTGCTGGGTCGAGACTGGGACCAACGACGCTCCCCTCCGGCACAGCATTCAGTAGGGCACTGAAACAGTCAACGATAGCTGTAAAGTCGAATTGAAAAGTGGATTGATTTAAGTCTGGAGCTGCAAATGCAAAGGATTTCTTCAAATTTATTTCCTTCTACATTTACATTTTTCTCTCTTTATAAATGTATTGCTGATGAATATTGAAAATACTCTTGGGCGCAAGTATCTTCTTGCAGTGGCAATGCATCAGAGGCTCGGCTGGTGGTTATTCTTCAAAGAGCTAGGAGGCGTTAAATGTAAATTTAAATATAAATGTATTTAGGAAAATCCAATACCAAAATGATCTGAATCTTCTAATTATTTTAATTAAAGTAGAAGGAAGAGCTTTTAAAAACACTGGGATCCTGTTTTTTTTGTTTTTTTTTTTTATGACCTTTCTGAACACGCTGAAGAAAGCTGCTTTCCCTCACCATTTGTCCTAACTCCTGGTGGCCAAGGCACCGTGAGGGGCACCCATCTGCGGCCTCCAGGCCAGGAACGCCCTGAGAAACCCAGTTAGCAGCCCAGCGTAGGTACAAAGAACCGATTGCCAAAAATGTTTTGAAAACCCAGCTACCAGGGAAGATTACTCTGTGAAAATAAAACTGTTACGCAAAGCACTTTTGGGGATTCACGCGCAGCGAGCGACGCGCTGCCACCCATCCTTCAGCAAAACCAGGCGGAGGTTTCCAACCACGACGCTGGGGCACCCAACTGCGGCCTGTGCAAGTTGAAGAGCCGAAATTAAGATTAAATTATTATAATTTAAAGCCAAAACCCGGGGAGAGCCCCGCTGTGCTCCCCGCTGGGATGTGGTGTCGCAGCTGACCGGCGGGCCCTGGTACCCTTACCTGAGGGCTGGGACCCGCCGGGCCTGGCAGCTGCGTGTGGAGGCAGCGAGGCAGGACTCCGGGGGGCAAAAAAAATTAAAGAAATAGAAGAAAAGGGGGATAAAAACAATAATAAAAAAAAAAAGCAGGATCCCAGCTCGGCGGTGCCCCCTCGCTCCAGCCTGAGGGGCCAGCTGTGGGCGGCGGCCGCAGGCCTCGCTCCGAGGGGGTGGCGGCGGAGGCCCCGCTGCCGGTGGTGACCCTAATCCCGGCCCCAATCCCGCTCCCAGTCCCAGTCCCGGTCCCAGTCCCAGTCCCGGGCCCGGCCCCGCCGCCGGGGGAGGGCTTTCCCACAATGCTTTGTGGGGCCGTTGACAAGTGGATCCAAGATGGCGTAGAAAGTAATGACAGGTAAGTCCGGACTTCCCCAGCCGCCCCCCGCAGCGGGGCCGGGACCGTCGGGGCCGGGCCTTGAGGTGCTCGCCGGGAGCCCTCAGGGGGCTGCGTGAGGGGAGATCTCAACCCCCACACACCGCCTCCTCCTCCTCTTCCTCACCGCCGCCCCTCTGCCGGGCCCGGGCGCCGAGAGCGGGGGCTGCGGGCGGGCCGGGGGCTGAGCGGTGCCGGCTGGGGAGGGCCCCGCGGTTGTGGAGGGGCCCTGAGGCGGCCGCTCGGGGGTTGCAAGCGGAGGGGCCGGCTTGGAGCTTTCCCCCCCCCGCTCTCCCCTCCACGCTCCGGGGGTGCCGCGCTCGGCCCGGGAGCCCTCAGCAGGCGGCGGGCGCGGCCCTGAGGCCGGGCAGCCCTGAGGGCCCCGGGGTGGGGGGGAGAGAGCTCGGGGGGGAGCGGGGCTGTGGGGAGAGAGGGGCTGAGGGGGGGGCTCCGTCAGGCTGGGAGGGGTGGGGGGCACGGCGGAGCGAGGGGGTGGGGAGGGAAAGGGCGAGGGGGAGGCCGGGAAAGGAGGTAAAAAAAATAAACTTTTTTTTTTTTTTCTTTCTTAAAGGCTGGCGTAGGGTTTGCTGAAAGGATGGAGGAGTAAATTGTGAGGATTTAGCAGCTGTTTTTTTTTTTTTTTTTTTTTTTTTTTTTGCAAGCGAGCCCTCCGAGCGGTGGAGCGGAGGCTTGGCCTAGGAGCTTGTGGGTCTGTTTTCTTCAGGGAGGCTTTGTCAGGGCCGTGTGGCTCCAAGTTGGGAGGGCCACGGGGATCCCGAGGCTGCCCTCGGTACAATGCAACTGTTGTGAAACTGAAAATAGGAAAGTTCGTACCCCAGGTTGCAGCCCCGTGCCTTTTTTTTCTTTTGGAGGGGGGCAGATCCCCAAGTAGGGCTGCGTGTGATGCTACCCCTCGTGAGGCATTTGATGGGTTGTGTCCTTTTATTAATTTCCAAGCAATTGAAGTTGTTTGGTTCCAATGCAGTGGTAGTCGAGCTGTTGTTTGGTTATAGTAAAGCGATTAGTTGTTGATGGAAATTAAGATATAACTGCAGGGAGACAGTTGCAAGGTTGTTTTCCGATTAGTGACAAAATGAGTAAGAGTTAACAAGGTAATAGGATGCTTGTTTTATCACAGGCGCGGGGAGCTTGTGTTGAGGTTATAAAATCACAGATTTCATTTTCCATTTCAGCAATTAAATGATTCAGTTGTAAGACCAAAAATATTCTGGAAATGCAAATCCTTATTGACAGATTCAATATATCATAGCTAGTCTTGTTGGGACGGCTTGATTTGGTGAGGTCTTCTGATGTTAGTCTTCCTAATAAATCTTGTAACTGAAACAAAGGAAAAGATAAAATATTCCCTCTTTGTTTTTGTTTTTTTTTTTTTTTTTTCTTTTCTCAAGTACACATTCTTTTGTAAAATTGAAAATATAACCAAATTAAATGAGATGATACTTGGCAAGTTTGTGGCATTTTCCAAGACATTGGTAGAACAGAGAGAGTTTACAAAAATGTGTTTTAAATTCAATTGTTTCAATATTTTTAAGTTCGATTTATTTTTTTGATGGCAAAGCATGGTTGACTGGGACAGCCTGGGGATGCTGGACTGCTTGGTGGTGCACAGCGGTGAGGAGCTGGTTTGGCACGTGCAGTTGGATCTTAGATGTGGGCAGAGCGTTGGAGTGACCGTCACCATCCCTGCCTCTCCTTGGGGTGCAGACTGAGGGATTCGGGCTTGGTAGGCTTGGCTCTTACAGCATACAAGTTGTGAGTGGCAGAGGTTACGTTCAGCTTTCTTTGTTGAGCTTTAATTAGCAGAGCAGTTTTTCTTTATTGGTTTGTGAAGGGACGTTTTGTGTTTTACTACTGATAAAATTGAGTTCTCTTTGTAATATATTATGAAAGCACAAATTACGTTTTTCTTGAGCTGAAATCAGAGTTCTCTTATCACTCCTCACCTATGTGAATTTTTTACTTAAACTACAGAGCGTGTATTTCCACTCCTTTAATTTGTGTGGATACTGTGCCTTTTCCACTGTGTTTGGATGAACTTTTATGTGAAAGAGAAGAAAGAGACATTTAAAACGATGGCTCGAGGACTTGGAAGGTTGGAATAGCAGAGTGGGTTTTTTGGGTTGTTTTCGTCTCTCCCCAGCAGAGTAGAAATTGAAGGGAGACTTGGAAGCTGCATTTTAGTCTGTGTTTTGGCCCGGTTCTGCTGCGTGATCCCTCGTAGATGATCCTTTCACTCTGAGGAATCTCACTAGCTTCAGAGAAGGTGCTCCTGGGCTTCAGGATCTCTATTTGGAGATCTGGTTGCAGGATAAGGGCTGTGGCTTGGGGACAACTTGTGCTCAGGGGTTAGACTCATGGAGGAATGCCCACCTCCAAGAAAAATATAAGTAGCAGTGGCCAGAAGGGTTGAAGAGCTAATATTTCAAATTGACAAAGA